TCTTACCCATGGGGTGGGGCCAGTCTGATCTGAGCACCCCCTTGTCTGCCAGCCTCTCCCCATGTCCCTGCTTGGCCATGCCTGATTGCAGCACAGCCTCAGATGACCTATTAGGCTGCTTTCCAGTGGCCACTGCCATAGCATTTTCACCAACAGACCCCACCTAACCATGAGAAGGCTTTTGCAAATGGGCTGCTGCCAGCACACACCTGCCGCAGACATCCCCTGACTGCTTTGCCTGCAGCACTCATTGGAGTGTTGTTGCAGGCAGACCGAGAATGCCGTGGACCCTCCAGTACAGCAGTTGCTTATCTTGAAGGGCCAGAGAACAAGGTTATGGGCCTGGACAGAGGCCCTCTGGATTACAGCGTGTAACCCACGAGTGGTAAACTGAGCCCTGGTACCCGGAAATCATCCAGAAACAAAGCCAGTCAACTAAACCCAACTTGTATTAACAGTCAAACCCTCAATGATATCAAAGAAGATACAAGCAAAAAAAATCCCATCCAAAGGACAGCAACTTCAAAAAATTAAAGGAATATCATCCACACAGATGAGAAAGAACCAGAGCAAGAATTCTGGCAAGTCTAAAAGCCAGACTATGAGCATACTATTGCCTAGCGATGGTTCTTAACCAGATTGAAATGGCAGAAATGATAGACATTCAGAATTCAGAATTCAGAATCTGGATGATAACAAAGAACATCAAGATGCAGAAGGAAGCTGAAACCCATTCCAAGGAATCTAAGGAATCCAGTAAAAGGAATCAAGAGCTGAAAGATGAAATAGCTATTTTAAGAACCAAACTGATCTGATAGAGCTGAAAATCTCACTACAAGAATTTCATAATACATTCAGAAGTGTTAACAGCAGAATAGATTAAGCTGAGGAATGAGCACAAAGACTGGTTATTCAAATCAATTTCAGTGAGACAAAAATAAAGGAAAAAGTATTTTTTAATGGGAAAAAATCTGAGAAACGTAACATTACGTAAAGAGACCAAGCCTACAACTCACTGGGGTCCCTGAAAGACAGGGAGAAACAGCAAGCAAACTAGAAAATATATTTGAGGATACTGTCCATGAAAATTTCCCCAACCTCACTAAAGGTCAACATTCAAATTCAGGAAATTCAGAGGACCCCTGAGCACAAAGAAGATCTGGAATCCTACTGAAACCATTGCAAAAAACTGAGAAGGAAAGACTCCTCCCTAACTCATTCTACAAAGGCAGCATCACTCTGATGCCAAAACCTGGCAGAGACCCAGTAAAGAAAGAAATCAGGCCAATATTCTTGATGAATATCGACACAAAAATCCTCAATAAAATACCAGCAAACTGAATCCAGCAGCATATCAAAAAAGCAAATCCACCACAATCAAGTAGGCTTTATTCTTGGGATGCAAGATTGGCTCACATATGCAAATCAATGAATGTCATTCATCACATAAACAGAACTAAAAACAAAAACCACATCATCATCTCAAGAGATGCAGGAAAGGCTTTCAAAAAAATTCACCTCTTCATGTTAAAAATCCTCAACAAACTAGGTATTGAAGAATCATAATTCAAGATAATAAAGGCCACTTATGGCAAACCCACAGCCAACATCATACTGAGAAAAAGTTGGAAGGAAGCATTCCCCTTAAGAACCAGAACAAGGCAAGGATGCCCACTCCACCACTACTATTCAGCATAGTTCTAGAGGTCCTAGCCAGAGCAATTAGGCAAGAGAAAAAAATAAAAAGCATTCAAATAGGGAGAGAGGAAGTCAAACTCTGTTTGCAGATTCTATAATTCTATACCTAGAAAACCCCATAGTCTCTGCCCAAAGACTCCTAGATCTGATGAACAACTTCAGCAAAGTTTCAGGATACAAAATCAACAAAACTCCATAGCATTTCTATACACCAATAACATCCAAACACAATCTAACTCAAAGCAGCCACAAAAAAAGAATAAAATACCTAACCAAGAAGGCAAAAGATCTCTACAAGAATTACAAAACACTGCTAAAGGAAATCGGACACAACACAAATAAATGGAAAAACAACCCATGCTCATGGATAAGAAGAATAAATACTATTTTTAAAAAATGGTCATAACTGTCCAAAGCAATTTACAGATTAAATGCTATTCCAATCAAACTACTGATGTTTTTCACAGAATTAGAGAACTATTCTAATATTCATATGGAGCCAAAAAGCAGCCTCAAGAGCCAAAGCAATAATAAGCAAAAAAAAAAAAAAAAAAAAAAAAAGCTGGCAGCATCACTTTACCCAAGTTCAAACTATACTACAAGGTAATAGTAACCAAAAGAGCATGGTACTAGTACAAAAACAGACACAGAGACCAAGAAATAAAGCTGCACATCTACAACCATCTGATCTTCAAAAAAGTTGGCAATAACAAGCAATGGGGAAGGAACTCCCTATTCAATAAATTGTACAGGGATAACGAGCTAGCCATATGCAGAAGATTGAAACCAGACCCCTCCCTTTCACCATACACAAAAATCAACTCAAGATTTATAAAAGTCCTAAATGTAAAACCTAAAACTATAAAAACTGGGTAGAAAACCTAGGAAATATCTAGAAATACCTAGAACATAGGACCTGGTAAAGACTTCATGACAGAAACTCCAAAAACAATTAAAACAAAAACAAAATTGACAAGTGGGACCTAATTAAACTAAAAAGCTTCAGCACAGTGAAAGAAACTATTAACAGAGTAAATAGACAACTCAGAGAATGGGAAAAAATATTTGCAAACTATGCATCTGATAAAGGTCTAATACCCAGAACCTACAAAAACTTAAATTTACAAGAAAAAAGCAACTCTATTCAAAAGTGGGCAAAACACATAACCAAACACTCCTCAAAAGTAGACATACAGCCAACAAGCATATGAAAAGATGGTCAACCTCACTAATCACTAGAGAAATGCAAATCAAAACTACAACGAGATACCATTTCACACACCTTAAATAATACAAAAACATTCTTAAAATAATAAATATTTAAGAATATTTATTATTAAAAAGTAAAAAATAAATAAATAACATGCTAGTGAAGTTGTGGAAAAAAGGGAATGCTTATACACTGCTGGTGGGAATGTAAATTAGTTCAGCAACTATAGACAGCAGTTTGGAGAATTCTCAAAGAATTTAAAATATAACTACCACTGGACCAAGCAATTCCATTACTGGGTATTTAAATAATTCTACCATAAGACCAATGCACAAATATGTACATTGCAGCATTATTCACAACACCAAAGACATGGAATCAACCTAGATGCCCATCAACAGTGGACTGGATAAAGAAAATATGGTACATATACACCATGGAACACCACACAATCATAAAAAGAATAAAATCATGTCCTCTGCAGCAGCATGGATGCAGCTGGAGGCCAATATCCTAAGAGAACACAGGAACAGAAAACCAAATATTGCATGTTCTCACTTATAAGTGGAAACTAAAAACTGAATAGATGGTTGGGTACAACGGCTCACACCTGTAATCTCAACATTTGGGGACCCGAGTCAGGTGGATCACCTGAGGTCAGGAATTTGAGACCAGCCTGGCCAATGCCATGAAACCTCACCTCTACTAAAAATACAAAATTTAGCCAAGCGTTGTGGTGGGTGCCTGTAATCTCAGCTACTTAGGAGGCTGAGGCAGGAGAATTGCTTGAACCAGGAAGCAGAGGTTGCAGTGGGCATAGATGATGCCACTGCACTCTAGCCTGGGTGACAGAGTAAGACTCCATCACAAAAAAAAAAAAAAAAAAAAAAAAAAAAAAATTGAATACATATAGATACAAAATAGAGGATAACAGGCATACGTACCTACTTGAGGTGAAGAAAAGGAAGGTGAGGACCAAAAAACTGCCTATCAGATACTATGCTTACTACCTGAGTGACAAAATAATTTCTACACCAAACCCCAGAAAAATGCAATTTACCCATGTAACAAACCTGCACATGTACTCCCTTAAGCTAAAATAAAAGTCAGAAGGAAAATAAATAAATCCTGCCTAACATCAGCTTTTGTAAGAGAAAATTTAATTAGATTTAATTTTTATCATTAATTAGATTTAATTCTGTCATTTATGCACCGTGCAGGGCCGTCTTTGTGCTATAACAGTGGAACTGAACACTGTAGCTGCAAAACAGATCAGATGGCCCACAGTCTACAATATGTACTATCTGGCTTGTTGAAAGTTTGCTGATTTGTATTCTAGGATGATAAAAACAAGTAACTAAAAATAAAATGCTATAGAATGTTAAAATAGATGGTATAAATAGAACAAGATAGCCGAGTTAACTGGTTTCCAACTACGTCAATAAATTCAGCCAGGCCCAGCTGAACTCCAGCATTTTGGAAGGCTGAGGTGGGAGGAATTCTTGAGGCCAGGAGTTTGAGATCAGCCTGGCCAACAAAGTGAGACCTTGTCTCTATTTAAAATTTTAAAAATTTGATTGGTAAATTCAAAGCACTGACAAACATGTGGCTGTTTTCCTTTCCCCTCAAAAAAGCAATTTCAAAAAGGAAGATGACCTTAGAAGTTCTAAGTTAAAAAGAAATTTTTTTTCAAATAAAAGTGAAAATTTGAAAAGTTATATGAACACTCCATCGCTAAAAAACTTACCATCATCATTCCAGGTTTACTTAATATGATACATTAAGGCACTGTGTTGGGCCATAAGCGAATCATATTTTTCTGAAAGCACCTTCAAATAATAAATTGTATTAAAAAGCATATTTGACAAACATCTATGTAAAAGGAACTATGCAACATACCATAAGAAAATTCATAAAAAGTAAGAGTAAACTTAAAATGCTAACAACTGAATAGAAAAATAATCTCTATGACTTCAGTTTAAAAAGTTAAGTGTATTTCATTGCAAATTCTGTATTTCTTTCATTTTTATGTAAATACATTTCTTTGTCTGTTTATAACCTACACTAGTTGAAAAATCTGAAAACATATTACCTGAATTGAATGTTCACTAAATGAGGTTGGGAACCATCTGATTGCCAGTAAGTTTCTAGATTGTCATCTCGTAACTGATCCACTCCAAATCCTAAAAACATCAAAAGTGTCAATAAATACCTGTGAAAAAGAACTATATATGCAAAACATAAAATTAACATACGTATTTTTTCCAGAAATTTTGATAAACAGAATGGCCAGAAATGCTTTATTTATTTATTTATTTATTTATTTATGTAGAGGCAGGGTCTTGCTGTGTTGCCCAGGCTGGCCTCAAACTCCCAGCCTCAAGGTATCCTCCTGCCTTAGCCTCCCAAAGTGCTGGGATTACAAGTATAAGCCATCATACCCAGCTGTGAAATTTAAATTAACCAGAATTCTACCCTTTTATTCAGAGCTCAAATCTTAGAGAAATATCACTTGCACATACAAAGCCTATATTAGGATCAAGTTTTTTTGTTGTCACGTTTTTAAAAAACATTTTTGGGGATATATTTTAAAGTACATATGCATTCAAACTCAAATTTCTTATACTTTTTATAAACTAATAGTAAGAATAAGCCCCAATCCTAATCCTACAAAATCCTCAAAAATAAACACTTTGTAATAAGTTCAATATGTCATAATTACTGAGACAAGAAGAAAGACAACTCAGAAATATTTTCAAAAGGCATACTTTGAAACCAAATGCTTCTGATTAAAATTCTGATTAATCAAAATTAAATTTACCCAGAATTCCATATTCTCCATCTAGTCTAGATAATTGTACTATCCTGTATTTTTTTTCCTGATTAAAACCATAATAATTCATACAAATGCTAGAAATGAACTTGATTTAATAGTAAAATACAGACTTTTCAATAAGAGAAATAAGTTACCTTACATTTCAATTTTTCACTAAGTAATATATTCATTATGGAACAAATCCAAAGGAACAGAAAAGAACACAGTGAAAAGTCACTATCCCTCTACCATTTCATTCCTCTCTCCAAATACAATTAATGTTCTCAGTTTATTGCATGCCCTTTCACAGATACTATACGCGTATAAAAGCAGTCACACATGTATTCTTTTCTTTCTCCTTTCTTTACACAAATGATAGTATACAATAAACAGCTCTGCACGTTGCTGTTTTTTATTTTTACTTAACATTTCTGGAGATATTTTTCCATATGAATATTTATTCCACATCAGTAAATTAACAAGAAGAATAATAGCAAACACTGATATCACATTAAGTATGTGCCAGGCACATTCTAAACATTTTATATATGTTAAATAATCTAACGTTATTAACTCAACATAACTCAACATAAACAGCTTCCATAGTTTATAAGATTGTATAGTATACCTCTGTCTGGAAATATCATAATTATTTAACCATACCCCTACAGAACATTTAGGTTTGTTTCCAATGTTTTGCTATTACACACAATACTGTAATAAATACCTGTCTGTCTATAATCTTTAAAGAGATGTTATTGCTAGAGAATAGATTACTAGGAATAGAATCCTGGGTGATTTGAATCTTTAATTTGATAAATATTGCCCAACTGTCCTCTAAAAGGTTTCCTCACCAAAAATGTAAAAGAATATCTATTGCCAGGTAGGAGGATCTAAGATGGCCAAATAGGAACAGCTCTGGAGTATAGTTCCCAGCAAGAACAATGCAGAGGGTGAGTGAACACTACATTTCCAAAAGAGTTATTACTGCCCACAGACCAAGAGATTCCTGGGCTGAAAAGTGCCACAAGTTTCCAGCATGGCTGTTTCATCCAACGCAGTGGGTCTCTGCACAAAAACTCACACAAATCTGGGTGGCTGTTTCAACTGGTGCCTGGAACACCTGGGAGACAGAGCCACCCATTCAACAGAAACAAAGGGGGCTGAAACAGGGAGCCAGGTGATCTGGCTCGGCGAGTCCCACCCCCACAAAGACCAGCAATCTGAAACACTCTGGATGGAGAGTTTCACAGCAAGCACAGCTGGACCCAGGATGGTCCAGTTTTGTTGGGGGAAGGGAGTCTGCCATTACCGAGGCAGTCCGCCATTACTGAGGCAGTCTGCCATTACAGAGGTAGTCTGCCATTACTGAGGCAGACTGTCATTACCAAGGCAGTTCTAACTATATATCTATAAACAAAACCCAAGGAAGTTCACACAGCAGCTGGGCATAGCCCACAACAGCTCAGCAATGCCTCTACTGGCAGACAGTGAATAGGCTACCTCCTTGCTATGCAAGGAATCTCTGAAAAAAGGCAGCACCATGTCAGGAACTTATAAATAAAGCCCCATCTTCCCAGGAGAGAACACCTGGAAAAAAAGGTGGTTAAGAGTTCCGCTGCAACAGACTTAAATGTACCTGCCCAGCAGCTCTGAATGGAACAACAGGAGCTCACAGCTCAGCACTTGAGCTCCTATAAGGGAAAAACTGTCCTCAAGCACCTCCCTGACTCCCGTATACCCAAAGAGTCATTTCATAAAGGAGAGATCAGGCTGACATCTGGCGGGTATCCTTCTGGGACAAAGATAACAGAAGAAGAAACTGGCAGCAACGCTTACTGTTCTGCAGCCACAGCTGGTGATCCCCAGGCAACAAGGTCTGGAGTGGGCCTCCAGCAGTCCTACAGCAGAGGGGTCTGACTGTTAGAAGCAAAACTAAAAAACAGAAATATATAACTTCATCATCAACAAAAAGGATGTCACTCAGAGACCCAATCTGAAAGTCAACTACTACAAAACCACAGGTAGGTAAATCCAAAAAGATGGGAAGAAACCAGTGCAAAAAGGATGAAAACACCCAAAACCAGAAGGTCTCTCCTCCTCCAAGGGATCACAACTCCTCATCAGCAAGGGAACAAAGCTGGATGGAGAATGAGTCTGACGAATTGACAGAAAAAGGCTTCAGAAGGTGGGTAATAACAAACTTCTCTGAGCTAAAAGAACATGTTCTAACCCAATGCAAAGAAACTAAGAACCTTGAAAAAAGCTTTGATGAAATGCTAACAAGAATAAACAGCTCAGAGAAGATATAAATGACTTAATGGAGCTGAAAAACATAACAAGAGAACTTATACACAACTTGCAAAAGCCAAATTGACCAAGCAGAAGAGAGGATATCAAAGATTGAAGATCAACTCAATGAAATAAAATGAGAGGTAAGATTAGAGAAAAAAGAGTGAAAAGAAATGAACAAAGCCTCCAAGAAATATGGGATTATGTAAAAACACCTAATCTACTTTTGATAGGTGTACCTGAATGTAACGGAGAGAAAGACTCCAGGCTGGAAAACACTCTTCAGGATATTATCCAGGAGAACTTCCCCAACCTAGCAAGGCAGGCCAATATTCAAGTCCAGGAAATACAGAGAACACCAGGATATTCTTCAAGAAGAGCAACCCCAAGGCACATAATCGTCAGATTCACCAGGGTTGAAACAAGGAAAACTGCTAAGGGAAGCCAAAGAGGAAGGTCAGGTTACCCACAAAGGGAAGCCCATCAGACTCACGGCAGATCTCTCAGGAGAAACCCTACAAGCCAGAAGAGACTAGGGCCAATATTCAACATCCTTAAAAGAAAATAACTTTCAACCTAGAATTTCATATCCAGCTAAACTAAGCTTCATAAGCCAAGGAGAAATAAAATCCTTTATGAACAAGCAATTGCTGAGAGACTTTGCCACCACCAGGCCTGCCTTTCAAGAGCTCCTGAAAGAAGCACTAAACATAGAAAGGAACAACCAGTACCAGCAATTCCAAAAACAACCAAAAGGTAAAGATCATCTATACAATGAAGAAACTGCATCAACTAATGGGCAAAACAACCGGTTAGAACCAAATTCACACATAACAATATTAACCTTAAATGTAAATGGGCTAAATGCCCCAATCAAAAGAAACAGACAGGCAAATTAAATAAAGAGTCCAAAACAGTGTGCTGTATTCAGCACACCCATCTCACATGCATGGACACACATAGGCTTAAGATACAGGGATGCAGGAAGATTTACCAAGCAAGTGGAGAGCACAAGAAAGCAGGAGCTGCAATCCTAGTCTCTGATAAAATGGACTTCAAACCAAGAAAGATCAAAAGAGACAAAGAAAGGCATTACATAATGGTAAAAGGATCAATGCAACAAGAAGAGCTAACAATCCTAAATACATACACACCCAATACAGGAACACCCAGATACATAAAGCAAATTCTTAAAGACCTACAAAGAGACTTAGACTTAGACTTAGTGGAAACTACAATACTCCACTGACAATATTAGACAGATCAACAAGGCAAAAAATTAAGAATGATATCTAGGACTTGAACTCAGATCTGGATCAAGCAAATGTAATAGACATCTACAGGACTCTCCACTCCAAATCCACAGAATATACATGCTTCTCAGCATCACGTCATACCTACTCTAAAACTGACCACATAATCAGAAGTAAATCACTCCTCAGCAAATGCAAAAAAAAAAAAAAAAAAAAACAGAAATCATAACAAACAGTTTCTCAGACCACAGTGCAATCAAATTAGAACTCAGGATTAAGAAACTGACTGAGAAACGCACAACTTCATGGAAACTGAACAACTGACTCTTGAATGTTGACTGGATAAACAATGAAATGAAGGCAGAAATAAAGATGTTCTTCAAAACCAATGAGAACGAAGACACAACAGACCAGAAACTCTGGGACACATTTAAAGCAGTGTCAAGAGGAAAATTTATAGCAATAAATGACCACATATGAAGCAAGGAAAGATCTAAAATTGACAGACACTCTATCATCAAAATTGAAATAGCTAGAGGAGCAAGATAAAAAAAAAAACTAAAAAGCTAGCAGAAGACAAGAAATAACTAAGATCAGAGCAGAACTGAAGGACACAGAGACACAAAAACCCTTCAAAAAAATCAATAAATCCAGGAACTGTTTAAAAAAAAAAATCAACAAAATAGACAAACCACAAGCCAGATTAATAAAAAAGAAAAGAGAATAATCAAATAGACATAATAAAAATCGGTAAAGGGGATATCACCACAGATTCCACAGAAATACAAACCACCATCAGAGATTACCACAAACAACTCTATGC